GTGGCAGCTTGAAACCCACATAACATTTCTCTGACCTATGTCAGAAAAGGAACAAAATGGTTAAGTGGTTTAAAGGGTTTACTTAAAAGGGAATTAGAAGACAGAGTGCATAATGGAATACAGAAAAGCAGGTTTTTGATTTTATTCAGAAAAATAGGCTTAGTATATTGTCCTCTTGTTTCAGAAATGTACCTATTGAATATAAAGCACAAATGATTTTTCATATCTCAAAATCTGAAAACCCATTAGTGGGAAAAATAATTTCTTGGATCATGCTGGAATGATGGAGTTATTTGTTGCTCTTTATCACAGCTTCTCTTGGTCTATACTAAAAGAGATTATCTGTGAATCTTCACCTGCAGTTATAAAGTCCAGATTAAAATATCCTGAAATCATACGGTCATCATGAAAACTGAAGTTGCATGATTTGATGAAATCGGGTTTTGATTTAGACAGTTTGTTTATCTCGTGGCAGAAGAAGATGCACTCTTGCTATTTTTACATGATAGACAAAAAAAGTTGGGTTTCATCTTGCTGATGTCTAGTTGAGTCAATTAATCCTGTAGCTCTCTTGATATTTGCTAGAGACATATGTGTCTCCAAAGGTTAATCTCCTCCTAACCAGAGAAATGAAGAGATGCACTTAAATGTTTATTGAGAGCTTTCTCATTGCAGCAGCACAGAATTCAGCACAAATAATTACTCTGTCAAAAAATTCACGTTTGTCCTCTCTGAACTGTGTGCAGAGTGGTGTCAGTTGCTCAGACTCTCACAGACATACACGTGCTGGCTGCACGTACATGCAGGGGTCTAAACAGCAATTGTGGTTTTGTGCTTACCTTACCACTTTGAATTAACTTCACTCAAACTATTAATTTTCTGTAGTACTCGTAACAAGATGGACAAAAAGGAAGAGTAATTTAATTTTTATTTATTTAATTCCAGTAGCAAAATAAAGAAATAAGATAGGTAAAGAGCAACTGAGATGTTTTGGGAAAGCAGCCTTTTCATGGGCAGCTCTGCATTTCTGTCTTCATCACAGCTCCTTTTAGTGATATAATTGTTCCCTAATGTCTGTAGGAGTCAGAATCCTTCAATTCACCTTGAGGTTTATGAGCTTTTTCTCTTAGAGAGAAATAAAAAATAAAATCAAATTAATTGCATAATTTGGCAATTGTATTTGATTTATAACACTACTTCTGTGTTTTCTGTAACTTCTCTTTTTTTTTTTTTGGTCTACCACTTTCTCTGGCTAGGATTTGGATTTTTACTTGTTTTCCTTTGATGTCCTTCGTAGGATTCTAGGATAAGTCAGGTTGAAAGGGACCTCTGGAGGTCTCTGTCTAATGCCAGGAATAAGATAAAGCCACATTGCTCAGGGCTTTATGTAGTCTGGTCTTTAAAATCTCAAACGAGATAGACCTTGCAACCTCTCTAGGCAGCCTGTGCCCCTCACTGTCTCACTGTCCTTACATTAATTCTACACTTGGGTGTATACTGTGCACTGTAAATGAATAATATAAAGAGTAAAAGATTTTGTGTTTTCTCCCCAGGGTTAGTTTTGGAGTGAGAAAAATTACAGAGAATTAGCCACCCATTATCAGCACAGGATATACTGCTGACAGAAATACCACAGCTCTCAATGGTACAAATTAGGACTTTAATATTTCTGAACAGTTTTAAGGCTGTATCTGCCTGGGCTGGCAGAGCAGGCTGGTGCTCATCTCGAGTTCTCCACTCTAAGGGTAGGAGTTTTCTAAAAGTACTTTGCTTTGAATAGTTCAGTCAAAAATCAGGAAGTGTGACAGCTCCTATTTGTTTTTCTGACTTTACCATTCTTTTTTCTTGATTTGAAAGTTATGTTTCTTTATAAAGAGAATAAGGAGATCTCTCCTGTATAGAGGCAAGGTTGCATTTTCCCTGGGAAACTCTGCAGAATGGAAGTATCCATGTGCTGGTATGGATGGTGGAAAGCAAGAGTTGTTGCAGAAGAACCTGGGAACCTGTAGTGTATGCAGAGCCTAAGAGACTGCAGAGAAACACAGAGAAGAAATAACCAGGCCTCGGTGGTGACAGAAAACAGTTTCTTGGGGTCAAAGAGTACTTGGCAGTTTACTTTAACTCAGAAATCCACTTAGTTGCTTGGAACCAAACTTAAACGGAAGAACAGGCAAAAGGAGATGTTTTCATATCCATTGTATCCGATATAGTTACTCTATGTGTTCTCAGAGATAAATTCCCTGTTAAAAGTAATTAAATCTGTCTTTTTTCGTTTAAAAGTCTTTTGTCTTGTTTGGAGAGATGTCTGTAAGGAAGAGGTATATGGATCTTAATCCTTTGACTGACAGAGTCCTGTCACAGAAAATTTTAGCACAAGAGCATGTTTTTTTGCTAAAATTGGCTTGTTTAATTTGACTTGCTGACTCATTTTTCCAGCTGGTCTGTCATTCTACTTAATTCCAGATGAGGCAATAGGAAAAAGAAAACTCTTTTGAATGTTCCACCCTCTTGCCAAACCAAGTAACAATTAAAAACTCGAATTTTCATTGCAGTTCTTTATCTCTGTTAATTATCCAAAGAACAGTAAATCAGATATATTGTCCTCTGCTTGTTGTCAATAATTTAAATTCTAAATTATTTATAGATTAGTTGCAGATTTAACACACTGCTTCTTTTCCCTAAATTACATACCATTTCACAACTTGAATCCAATGCAATGTTTCATTTTTACATTTGTGATCAAATGCTTGACAGTCCGGTCTAATTTGCTCTTTTTTTTTTTTTTTATATGCCCACAAGCAAACCCATATGAGCCTGTCTTAACCTACTTTTAATCCAAAAGAGCCATCAGGTCACTCAGTTTTTTAAATAGTGGCCTTCAGTGGGATTTTTCTTATGGAACCATAATTTTTGAGAATAATGTATTCTGAATTGAGTGTTCAGTGGACACTAAACTGGGAGCAGTGATGAGTCAAAAAAATAATAGGAAGTATAGTAGACAGGTACCTTGTGAGCTGCAAGATACTAATAGAAAATAACATTATGCTATTAAGCTTGGAAAAAACTTGTTGGTAATAAAATAGAAACATAAAGATCCATTAGAAGAGTTACAGGCGACATTTTGTAGAAGAGGTCAAGAACAAATGGGGGATTGCAAATTTAACTTGAATTTACAATGTGATTACAATTTTACAAAGTAAATGAGGTGTAGACATACCAGGTGGAGTCATGTTCACATTATCAATACTGATATTTTTCAAGGTAATAGAAGGCATTTTTCATCTGTCTCTATCCCTGTCAAGGATGAGAACAAAATTGTACTGTCACACATGTACAGCCGTTCCCATACCTGTCTGTGTAACTAGAAATGTAACTGGCATGGGTCATTACTGAGAAATGACCTTGTATCGGATAATCTTCTTAGTTTTGTTGAAAAACTTCAAATTTCGCTTGTGTCTAAAAAAAGAAAAAACAAAGAAAAAGCAAATCAAAACATATTTTTAATTAAAAATGACATCTAGCACAAAGCTTTGTTTGCCCTCATTACATATAGAGGTCAATACTAGTAAAGTTTCACCATTTGCTAGCTGCTGATTGATGATTTGGAAGTATTCCTACAGGTCTTGGTTAATACATGAGCTCTGATTATGTCACACAATTTTTGTTGCTTATTTGACAAATGAAAGTTTAGGTAGTAATCACACATATTAAATAATGTGATGAAAGTTTGTATAAATAATAAATAAAAAACTTAGCAATGATCAGTAGTTTAAAAGGAGTGTATGCAATTTTATACTTTGACTATTAAATACTGTGACTATTATTTAAAGAAAATATTACCTTGTTACTTAGTTATAGCCTGCATGCAAATTAATTCTATTATGTTTTAGTTTTAAACGGCCATTAAGTTCCATAGAAAGGAATTCAGATTCTGATTTCATGTTGTGATCTGTGTTTTACAAAGTAAAGTGGTAAAGCTAAAGGTTCATAAAGATAATAATGCCTGAAAAGAAAAGACAGTCTAGTCTTGGACATTCCTTCAGAGGGACATGATAAACATGAACAGCTTATTAAAACTTCTGGGAAAATATTTTTCTCACCTTCTAAAGAAATGCTTAGCTTTGGAGTAAAATATTCAGCCACAAGCTGAAACATGCTATTTGTGTCTTGTAGGATTTTAATTTTGTAGACAACAATACTAGGGCGTGGTATTCTTTTTTTTTCCTTTTTTTTTTTGTCATTCAAATCAGACAATTTGCATGGAAAATAATTTCAATGGAAAAGTCCAAAACTTGGATAGAATTCGGTGAGTTCTTCTGAAGCCATGACTCCCTCTAGTTCTTGAGATAGATTGGAGTTGCTTTGGCTAAACAGAATAGAATTTGTTTGTAAAACAAGTAGCTTTAGTGAATATCAGGTGAAGTATCAGAAGCTGAACCCTTCTGTAGAACTCCATTGAACTACTTCAGTAGTTTTACAGGGAAAAGTCTGACCAAAATGAGAATTTGTATTCTATAGTATCTGCAAATGTTGGGGGTTTTTTCCCCTGAAATTATTTCATATCCTAATAAATCCTGGTGTTCATTGTTTTGAATTCTACCACCACCCATATATCCATTTTTATTAATTGGTAAGCATCTAATATTGAAAGGAAATTATATCAACTAATTTAACAAAACCTGAAGAGTTATAATTGCCAACTTAGGAATAAAAAAAAATAAAAAGAAAAGAAATTTAAATGCTTCTTGAACAGTAAGCAATGTAAGAGCTTTAAAGCATGAAAGATGTATGAAAGAACATTCTTCTCGAGTTCTACATCCTGGACCAAGTAATGGCAATACATAAAATATAATAACAGAGCATCTCTTATGGTAATAAAAAATGGAAAAATTGCATCTTTCTGTTCAAAAGTATGAAAAATCCAAGTGTCACTGAGTGTACATCACAGCTAGTTAATGACATATAGTGAAGTTATATGCATTGTTTTTTAACTCGCACAGGTACGTGTGTTCACGTTTTCTGTTGGTCAACATAATTATGACAAAGGACCCATACAGTGGATGGCCTGTGAAAATAAAGGTACGGTCTTTTTCTTTGAAACTATTCTTTGCTAGAGCTTTGGATAGGACTCATCTTGATTATTTTCTAAAATGTACAGATTTTCTTTTTTTAAGCTTGACTTTTGGCTTTATTGTATTGTTAAATAAAAGTTTTTTATTAAATAAAGTGTTTATGAAATATATATTAAAAGAATAAGCTTGCATATTTATTTCTGATCAATTTGTTTAAAGTATTTTATTATAAAAAATAATATTTTTTGTAATAATAAGATACTACAGCTCAGTTTTGAGAATTCTTGTAATAGCCGTCTATGAAAAGATGGAACTGGTGACAGATAAGAAATCAAGCAAAGCTGTTTTATATTCAGGGGTCTGGACGAAGGAATTTTTTGTTTGCTTGGTTAACTGGTTGGATTTGTTTCTGGTTTTCTCCAGAACTTACAAGGGGCGAGATAACTTCCATTGTTTTTTCACTTTTTTGATGAATATATCAAAGTTATGCTGTGATTTCTTAGCTTCTAAAAGTATCTTACATTTTTTTATTTTTATCCTGGTTCTTTATTTTGGAAAAAAAAATAAGTAAAAAAGGTGAAATTAAGGAAGTAAAATACTTTTTTCTAAAACTTCTATATGAAAAATGTGGTCAGAAAAATTTTTTAAGATTTTGAGAAAGAGATGTCTCAAATATCTTACAATTATGGATCAAGAGATATGAGAGAAATGCAAATAAATAGAAAAATGATAAATTATCAAATGATATTGTTTACTTTTAAACAGAGCATTTTCCAGGCCTGACTAAAAATGTAGAAAGCAATAACAAGCAAGAGGTGAGAGATGGGATAAATTACAAAGGGTCTGGAATATTAAGACTGTCAGGGAAGGACATTAATATAAGGTTGTCTGGCATGAGAATAACCTAAACCAAAGGTAAGAGAAAGATACAGATAAAAAATATTTAGAAGAACCCATAGCCTGTACAAATAGTTTATATATCATAACCTCATGAATGCCCCAGAATGCTGGCAAGTTATGCAGAAGATACTACACCTTCATGAAGAGCAGATTGTATTGTCAGATAATTACAGAAAATCAATGGGGTTTTGAGCAGGGATTTTTGGACTAATATCTTTGTATCTCAAAATGCTGTGTGCCTGTGCATTCCATTGTCTTAAAACAAATGAGGACCAGCTGGCTTAAAGCATAACTATGTCATCTTATTATCAAGGCAAAATGATTATAATCGTCTGCCCAAAATTGATGTGATTATTTGTTTGCACATCCAAAGAAGTAAAGTTCTATTTCATTTTTCCTTAATTAAAAGTTTTAATTTATTATCATGTCACACATTGCTTACGGCAAAGTAAATGACAAACCTCAGTGCTTTTACGTCTCCAGTCCTTCCCCCTTTCCTTCCAATGTGACTTACAGTTTACTTGGTCTGAAATGATCTCGGTGCCTGTCGTCAGTCTGATTGGTGCACACAGGCAATATTTTTAATTCAAACAAGTAAGTAATAGAATCAATGCTGAATAAAGACATTTCTTGTGTTCAGTTAGAAATACCCATAAGTTTTTTCATACCTTCCACAAAGTGTTTTATATTTTTATACTATGAACTTCACTATTGTGGCAGACTGTACCTATACTTGTATTCCTATATGCATTCAGCATCTAATTATGTTGCTGTCACAGCATATTCCCAGACTAACTGGAAATTCAGGAGTACAAACACAGTACATTATCTCAGTTTTAAAAACAACAGACAAAAGAAACACTTTATATGCTCTCTCTGCTTAGGAGTAACTAGTCTGGCCTGTATGGCATGGTGACCCATCTATGTGGCCATGCATTGTGGTGGCATCTTCTAAAGCAGTATTCCATTCATATGTAATAGTTTCTATAAAAATTAAATTAGAAATTACAAGCTAAATGAAATTCTTCAAGACTAAGAGACTAGCAATATACTAGAGTAAGATGGCATTATTTCTCTTCCAAATTTTAGGTTATTATTATGAAATTCCATCCATTGGAGCCATAAGAATAAACACCCAGGTAAGTCTGTTGGCCAAATCCACATGCAGTTGTAACACTGCAAGAAGTGTAAGAAGTGGAGTAATTGATGTTCTTAAGTCTGTTGCATTTCACATCTGTTTGAATGAATTGGATTTTAAGATACACTACATTAAAACAGAGAAAAAAATTAAGGATTTCTTTTACATGTGAGGAAATATTCTGTTAAAATATTCTTTTTTTTTTTTTCTTTTTAGTAGTTGCAGTGAGCCAACTCACAATTTGATCCCTGTTTCCCAAGCCAGCTGGCCCACAGCGGCTTGCATTCATACTAGTCACACTAGCATCCTCTAAAGCAGGCTGCCCATGTGCACACAATGTCCTGTTTGAAGTGATCTGTATCCTCCTGCCATACTTGCAGAGTGATCCTAAGGGTTTGTATTACATGGAGAAGGCTGTGGATGTATGTGAGGGTCTAGCCCTGCTTGAGTATCTGAACTCAGCTGGGCAAAACCAGTGACCAGCCACAATCCTCATTATGGAAAAGCTTCCTGGACTGATCCAACCAGCCTGGGAGAGACAATGCAATTTTCCTTCAAAATGGATACAGAACCATTTTATCAGACATGCATGTAGATAATTAAGACCACAGAACCTTGACATTACATGATGTGATCCAAACTGACAGTGTAGACGAGCAGATATTCTTTTCAGCTGTCTGAAAGTCCATGTACTCACATGCCCAGAAAAGCAGAGAAATATCATTGCAGTTCTTTGTCCTTCCAAGGCCAGGCATGACATTTTTTGGCAGAAAATAAGAGCCCTTCCTTTGGCTTGAATAAGAGTCCTTTGATTCTGTTAAACTCTTCCAGATAGTGCCTGGCAAGAAATATCCCTAACAGGGTAAGACAACAAATAAAAAAGGTTGAAGACCATGACAAGTTTGAATGGCATCCACTCTCAAAACAGACCAGAAGTCTGGCATCTCCTAAGATCAGCTTTAGCCATACTCCCAAGCTGAAGGAAGTCAGGGACTGTGAGGTTTTATAACTCTGAATTTTTTGTTTCAATAGAAGTTATGCAAGTTGTTGCTGTAGGAGCTTAATATACCCAGCTGTTACATCACTCACCTTCCATTGCCCACACTCTCTTCCAGCTTAAAGGTTCCACGTTCTGTTTGTAATTTCACTATTTCATTAGCAATTCATTTTGGAACAAAAAGAGTTTTAATTCTCACTTCATGGAAAGAGAGAGTGGTTATGGATGTGTAAGGTCCATATGGCTGAGACTGAAATACAGGAATTTTTTTGGCAGTAAATAGGGCAAACTGAAGACTGTTTTGTTGTATAGTACAATTTTACAAAGTAATACTGCTCCTATATTAGTGATGAATTTTGACCTTTTTTTATTTTATTTCATTATTGTCTATTTTTTGTGCTGTTTATGGACTTTGATCAAATAACTGCCTTCTGATGAACTTATTACACTTTTTATTTGGCAGGAATATCTGGATGTTTTGGGAAGACCAATGGTTTTAGCTGGAGAGAAAGCCAAACAAGTCCAATGGACAAATGTCTATCTGGATGCTCTGGTATGATCTGTATTTATCCCTAGGAAAGTAAGAATCTTACCAAATCTGTGATTATAGGGGTCCATTTCCCACAGTTCTGAGGACTTTATTTCCTACAGTTCCAAATATAATATTCTTGCCTTTCCAGCATCTATATACTTCAACAGAGCAATTTCCTGAACAGCTGCTTCTAACATACTGGTCATTACTTGCACCTAGTATCATCCTAAATGTCCTGAACTTTAACAGAGAAAAGCAATTTATTCTACGCATAGATCTTTAAGTGTAGGTCATTGTTATCCTCAAATTAACAAAAGAAAAAAGAAGCAAATAGTTTTCCAGTGTTGTACATGAGCTGCAGTAAAGTTCATGTTTTATGGTACTAGTGAGGAGTTATTACTTTTTTTCTATTTGCTTTTTTTCCCCAAAAAAGTATTCCAAGCAGAATGAAACCTGTCCAATGTTACTGGGTATTTGTACAGATTTTGAACTTGGATCTTTAAACTGTCATGGTTATTGTAATTACTTGCTTGCTCAAGGTAATGATTTCTTTAATTGGACAGTGTATATAATGGGGAAATAAACAAAAAGATATATGAAATGCTTTTCTTAAAGCTGAATTTATCACTTTTGCCTTGTAAAACAAACATACTCAGGAAACTATGAAATGCAAAGTATTATTAGCAGCAATCAAATCTGTTACTCTAGATAACCTTCTTCTGAATAACTCTAACTAGGAAAAATTACTGCTAAATGGTCATCTGGAATCATGTATTTATCCAAGTTCACATGGTCATCTAATGTCATGTCAAAATCCACTTCTTCCTGTCAGTCAGCATTACTGTAAAAATTTTATCAACACATCATAGAACTGTGTGTGACACAGAGGAATTAGTTTTTATTTGGAATTTCAATGTCCAGAAGTTCATTAACCATGTTTTCTTGGTCACTGTTGAGGTACTTACTGGAAACATAAAGGATGTTGTGATGAAGTTCCTATGTTCTGTTCATATCCTGTTATAACTAGGAATAGAAAGCAATCTGTTTAATGGAGTAAAATGAGTGATACCTGCAGACTTTACACTTTTTGTGTTACTTTATATTTTCAGTGGGTTCTGTCTTTCCTTCAAGCTTCTCTCTGTTCATGTGTTATATCTGTGTGCTTGTGCATACATATAGATTTATAAAAAGTAGGACAACACAAGCTAAACTTTTCAGGTAAAGGCCTAAATTGGTGGACTTTCTCATCACAGCTGAGAACACAAAGGCACAGTTGTATCTAATCCACTCTGGAGCATTTTCCTGGTTGTTGGTTTTAACAGGGACTGGGACTAACTTGTCACACTGGTTCTGTATCTTAAATTCCCTAAAGAAATTCCTTGCTGTAGGACTTACCCTTCTCCTGCTTGTGCCTCACTGAACTTTTTCCTGTACTTTTTCTCTTGCTGTTCATCAGCTTTTTTGGGGTAAGGCTAAAATAATGAGAAATTTATTACATGAGGACACATTGGAATTAAGTTCAGGTTATGAAATCCTTTCATCTGAGGCTGTCTTTCAAGACCATGTTTAATAACTTTGTTTATTTGTGGCAATTCACATTGCTTTTATTGCCCTTTTCCTTCAGCTTCTGTTACATTGTTGCTCTGGCTTTATTCTGCAAAATAATCCCAGAGTTTTCAAATACTTTTAGGTTTACCAGTTAGTAACAATTTATTCAGAATTATTGTCCTCTCTAACTGTACATGTTTAGAGGGCGAGAGGGCGTTATCCCCCATACCTAACCATCGTGTTTCATTATGTATTTCTTCAATGCTTCTTCTCAAAAATAACCTTCACTTTTATCCTGTTCAATCTTAATTTCTTGCTTCTCTTATTCTTCTAAAAAGTCCACTTCTCCTCCTCTTCACCTTGCTTGTAATGTTACTAATTCTGACCTCTTCACCTTTTATTTGATACACAAACTTAACTTGATGGAGTCTGGTTTAAAATTCAAAAAGGTGCTGTTAGATCAGGCAAACAGATAATTGGTTTCATCAGACTGGATTAATATAGTATTTTAGCTTATTTTTTTCTAATGAAAGAGAGGGACAAAAGTGATGTGGTTCCTCAGCAGAATACCTGGAAGGAGTAAGTGTCACTGAGGTGAAAACAGTTTTAAATAAACCATGATCATTAGCATAAAGAAGGTGGACATCTCCCTGTGGACAATTTAGAATGGAAAAACAAAACTTTTCTGGCCATTCAAACATATGTATTTCTGGATCCTGTTTTGAGTTGTGACTGTTAATAAAGGAAAAATAAAATTTCTTATATATTCCCAAACAAGTGCAAATTCCTTGCCTCAGTTCTAGAAGAGACTATGTGATATTGCAGAACTGATGATGGACATTATTTCAAGCCATTGAAAAGTAGTGATGATAGGAGAAGTAGTAGTATTATCTGTTGCATTTTTCTATTGATTTTGGCTGTATGTATTTGTTGTCTACCTATTTTCTGTGTTTAAGTTTGATTTGACTTTCTCAAGTTTTTCTTATTTCTTCCCTTCCCTTCCCCCCAAATCTGGAGTTATTAGCGTAGTAGGTATTGTAGCTGTAAACATGTTTTCATAACACTTAGGGGGTTTTAAGCTACTATATCCTAAGTTGTTGCACACCATGTATTTTTAAAAAGTAATTTATTACACTCACTATCACATGAACACACAAAGGATGTAATTTTAACTTTCTGTGTATCAAATCAATGAAGTAGTATTATTCCTTTTTTTACAAAATAAAAGTCAGTACTCTAATCTAGTGTTCAGCTACAGTAATCCCTGGATTTTTCTAATATATTGGGATTGAATATTTGTTATTTAACTAAAAAGCCTTTTTCTCCTCCTGTATGTGGTTGTTTCCTAGGAACTGGGCCTTGTGATTACAGGAACTCTACCTGTCTTCAACCTAACAAAGGAACAAAATGGGAAAATAGTAAGTTGTTACTTAAAAAAAAAAAAAAAATCAGTTATTTGCATTAAATTTATTGCTAAACTCTTTGAAAAAAAGCTTATTTCCATAGAGATTTCTGCATTTTAATTGTCTTGTACATCAGAAGCTAAGGGATCATCTCTATTTTCCTGATATCCCCCTGGGAACAAGAAAATGCAGATGACCCTTTTTGTAGTTCTGAGTTTCTGGGTATGACATTCCTTGATCTATCTCTCTGAGCTGGTGGCACTGTGAATGTGTTGTGCTCAATGGATGGGGAATAGATGATGATATTATTGCTCAGATAAATTTATAACAAATCTATGAAGCTATGACATTTCAGGGTGAAGGGCAATGATGAAGAGAATTTAAATTAATTTGTTTTAGTGATCATAGAAAACAGCACTCTGTACTTAGATTAAAATCTAATTATTAAATAAATGCAATTGCCTACCCCATTTACTGTCTGATATGCAATCAATTTATGTCCCCTTAACAAAATCAAAATACTGCTTTTTTAAAATCAGACCTAGAATGTACTTTACAGTATGTAGTAAAATATTGTACATTTGATGTCATACCCATGTTCAGTCACATCAAAATATACAGACACATAGAGAAGTTATTCTTTGTTTCAGTTTCTCAGGTATTATATAGACTCTGAATGAATAAATACGAATTCAAGCACTACTAGTTCTTTGATTTGCTTTCAGAGCAGTTCTCTTCGTTTCCCTTTAAAAATAAAACAAAACAAAAAAAGGTTTCATAATCTTATCTGCAAGAGAGTGCCTGGAATTCACTGAGTCTGGTTGCAAAGTGAGAGACTGCTGATTATAAAAAAGGATGTCTTTCTGAGAAGTAAAACAGTTGTGGTCTAGTACAGAAGAACGAGAAGACAACTTGAATCTGCTCAACTTATGTCTCTACCTGAATTTCAGGTTACAGACTGTAAGATACATCTTCCAGTACACCTTCCACATTTATTTGATATGGAAAAGGGATTCATGTGATATTATGTAAATTGCTGCCTTCCTTTTCTGTACTAGGAAAATAAATTAAAAGTCACATGAATGTAATGCCTGAGTCCCTGATTTTAAATGCTGATGATTGTTATAGTCACTGTTTTTACTGGTTTCGTTGGATTTTTTTCATTCATCACTCCAGAATCACAGAACGGTAGGGGTTGGAAGGGAAATTTGGAGATTAGTTAGTCCAACCCCCCTGCCAAAGCAGGTTGCACAAGAATGTGTCCAGGCAGGTTTTGAATATCTCCAGAAAATGAGACTCCAGAACCTCTCTGGGCAGCCTCTTCCAGTGCTCTGTCACCCTCACAGTAAAGAAGTTTTTCCTGATGTTTAGGTGGAACTTGCTGTGTGTGGCTGTTGCCCCTTGTTCTGTTAGTGGGCACTGCTGAAAAGAGACTGGCCTCGTCCTCTCAACACCCACCCTTTAGCTATTTATAAACACTGATTAGATACCCTCAGTCTTTCCTTCTTCTCCAGGCTAAACAGCCCCAGGTCCCTCAGCCTTTCCTCATCAGAGATATGTTCCAGTCCCTTAATAATCTTTGGTGTCCTCCACTGGACTCTCTCCAGTAGTTTCCTGTCTTTCTTGAACTGCTATTATACCGTAGACAAAAGAGGTTAATTGTTCTGGAGTCTCATTTATCAATTGCCCAAACTGAGCGTGCAATAGTAGCTCTGTATGGGTATTATTAACTTAGTATCTACATCATTGGCAATATTGATACATCATTTCTGCTTTCACCTATTTTGTTTTTACATTTGTTGTTTATTCAGCCAGAAAAGTATCTATATTCATCTTCATAAACAATTTTATTATTCTATACTAATTCTGAATGTCTTGCATATTGTCTTGAATTACTTGGATATTATTTAAAATATTTTGATTAGGCAGATAAGTAAACAGGTAACTTTTCAAGTAGTATCTGTTAAACAATGAAGGCAAAATCAAAGCTCAGTAACTGTTTCAGTTATTTTGCATTGTAAATATGTCAAACATTCTAACTTTTTGGAATCTTAACAGAATCAGCTGATTCTTGGAGTAATGGGGGTTGATGTCTCTTTGGAAGACATAAAAAAACTGACACCACGATTTACAGTAAGTTGCTTGCATTAGTAGTTTCTTTTTATGTATGATTTATGTACAGTTTCTGTACATGCTCTTTCATAAGTCATACAGCAATGGCTGGATGTGAGTCAAAATACCAGCAGGCTTCTTCTCATATATTCTTTTCCTTTGTTGTAGATTTTCTGACAGTTTTCTCTGCAGCCATATAGAAATGTTCTTTAATGTACATGTCTGTCTGTACCCTACTCAGTATGACTGATTTATGTATTTAGACATCTGGCTGGGGAATTTCTAAGAAAATAGCTAGAGCTGTGGAAAACAGCTGAGGAAGCAAAGGAACATCACGAGTTTGACTGAAGGCTAATGCAAAGTCCTGCATCTAGAATGGAATAATCCTGTGCCACAGTACAGGCTGGGACAGACAGCCTCAAAAGGCAGGAAAGGGCCTGGGGGTCATGGTGGAGGACACACTGAACATAAGTTAGTAGCGTGTTCTTGCAGTAAAGACCAACTGTGCAATGAACACCTGCATTCAGGAGTACAGTGTCTAAGTTTGATCTTCTCAGAGGAATACACTGAGGCACTGGGCGAGTGCAGTGCAGAGCCACTAAATTGGCCAAGGGGCTGGAGGACGTGATAAGAAGCAGATAGAGATGGGTTTGTTCAGACTGAAAAAAGAACCTGATGGGTTAGCTCATGGGACTTATAGAGAAGGTGGACCTCAGCACTCCTTGAAGGTTTATAGCAAAAGAGGCAAGTGATATAGTTGTGGCAATGGAAATTCCAACTGGAAAAAAGGAAAAATAATAATTGTGAGGGTGGTTAAGTACTGGAGCAGGTTGCCCATGTAAGTTGTGGAATTGCTGCTGGGGCTATTTCAAAGATCTTTGACACCAGCCTTGAAGTTGAATCTTATTTTGCAGTTAGCTCAGCTTTCAGTGAAGAGTTGTATCGGGTGACCTCCATAGGTTCCTTCAGCTTAAATTATTCTATATCAAAGTTTATGATTCTAAAAGGGTAAATATTAAGAAATTATTTTTGCCATGTTAATGTCTCACATATTTTGTGTTGCCTGAGTCAGTGTATTTTCCTCAATGTGACACTGCTTGAAAACCATTAATTAATCTTTATTAATTAAAACCTTATAATGCTAAACTACTCTTTTTTTTCTTTCAGCTTTGTCCAAACGGATACTATTTTGCAATTGATCCTAATGGGTATGTGCTACTTCATCCAAATCTCCAACCAAAGGTATGAAAAACCTAATTTATTTCTCTATAAGCGAACACAGAAATAACAGAGAGTAGTAGGAAAGAATTCTTTGTTTTGGGGATGTTAGGAAAGCCCATGGTGCATATATAGCTTTAACCAAATCCACTTTAGTCAGCATAAAGGCCGGCATAGTTTTATATTGAATTTGGTTATCAATAAAATAAAAAAGGTTTCTATTATACATGGACATTTACATATGTGAAAAAAGTGTTTCAATATGAGCATTAATGGAAAAACAGCTAGTGGTAGCTGTAATATCATTGTGAAAAAAATGTGTGTTACAAGATGCCCTTAAACTGAGGAGTTTACTAGTGCACATGTTTATGTTGTGAATGATTGCTCATTCCAGAAATTGAAATGTTCATATTTGTAAACCCACAGAAATCAGGGGCAAGCACAATGTATTTTACTTGTAGTTTTGTATTTATATGTTTGCTTATTTTCTATTTACCAGAACTGAAAACTGAGCTGCAGAGTTGGCATGGATCTAGCCAAGCACACCTACCCAGAATGCTAGATTTTTCAGTAGTTCAATTTGAGAAAGTTCTTCCATCTTTAAGGATGAAATCTTTATCTAAGCTTGATTAGAATGCAGCTTTCCTCAATTTCAGGAAAATGAAAACCCAAGATTTCAGTCTGACTTTTACATCTATTAACTGTAGCACTGTCCACACCACTATGTGGACTCCTCCATTACATATATCTTCTTAAATAACTTGCCTCCCTGGCTTTGATAAGATATTTCAAGATGAATGTATTATTTTTTCTTTCTGAAATTAGAAATCTAATCTTTGTTTTTGTGAAGGATTTCTCTATATCATATCTTCTGTTAACTGGAAGATTTAAAAATGCTTTTATTTGAATTCTATTAGCCACATACATTCAGCAAGTTTTGTCTCTTGCATACATAATGCACAAATGTAGCATTAAATAAAAGGCAAAATTAAAATCTAATTAACTAAAAATAAATTCTAAAAATCAGTCTGGATAGAGAGAAATATATGAATTATTTACAGATAAAAAATTAGAAATAGTAATGAATCAGTGGAAGTATTGAAAATCAAACATAGCCCTGTAGTTTGGTTGTCAGCGTCAAAATTTCCCATTACGAAGATTTGAGAAATATATGGCCAAGATAAATACAAGCTGTCAATACAGAGGCAAATAAGGCTGGTAAGGCATTTTTAAGGTTCTGTGGCACCCTACAGATTTTTAGCACTTGGTACACTTTAGAGAAACTTAGGAAGTTTAGACATGGAAATACTGTTGTTTTTTTGTAAATTTATTCTTCTCAGTCATGTTCCTGTGGAAGAATAGCAGTAAGTCCTTGACCTTATGGCTGTGCAACAGGTCTCTCGTTTCTTCACCACAAAGTCCTATCATAGCTACAAGATGGACAGACCACCTTTTCACTACTTCACTATCTTTAACTGTCAAAGCAGAAAAGGCAATGAAGAATTAATCTACATATTCTACTGATTCATTTAATTCTTAAGATGGGAGAAGTTAGCTTTGTGCCTATTTGAGTTAATTTCCTGGGGAAGTAATGAATATGTTTGAAATCTTTTGCCAAGTGTGTAACAAAAGAAGAAAGAAAAAAATGCTTCTGAAGAAGAGAAATAATAGCTTGATGTTAACTATTGAATAAATATTCCTTTTTATTTTGAAAAGACCCTTTTCAAAATAAAAGGAAGGGAAAAAAAGGAAAAGAAGGTTTTTATATAGTCTTTTTAATTTCGAAGGAGTTCAGTTTCTGGATATATGCACTAAGATTTCATGTGTTAAAAAAGGAAAGTTTTGATTAGATTATATTGCTTTGTGAATTATTCCAAGACACCTATGCATCCTTCCTGACGGAATTGTCTCTCCATTAGAGATTATTAGAAATTCAGATGGTGAGGAATGGTCTATTTACCTTTTCCTTGTATGCAGATGAAACTATCATTGATGGAAGGAATATAAAATGAAGCAATGTAGTATTCTTGTTTTGGGCACAACCTGTAGGGAACTGCTGGGTATGGATTCTGTTCCTCTCATATGTGCTATTACACTGCAGTGTAAACTCGTAACACTGGAGAATGAAGAACCTTTGTTAGGTAGTGAAAAACTCAGCTCATCCCAACTAAATCTAGGCAGACTGAGATGGATTATTAGGGAACTAATTGTCATGATTTCTCTGTGTAGTTTTCTACTTAAAAGCATATGGAATTCCAGAGATGTTTTGACACACTGCTCAAATGTTTGACTTAGAGTACATTTAAAAAAGGATTCTTTCTAAGTGATACGTTTTATATTGTAGAATAACATCTAAATGTAATATTAAGCACATACGTTAGTATCGTTGTTGTTGTTATTAACAGTTACACAGACTAGACTTTTTCACTCCCAGTTTGTTTGGGGTGGTGCATGCTATTCAGACTGGTACAAGAACTACGTTTTAAAATGAAGGTACACTACAAAGACAGATGTTTTTAGAACTCATGGACTTTCTTTAACATATCATATTAATTTTAGCTGAACCTCCTGGTAGCTGTTAACTTATTAACAAACAACATCTTAACCCTCTTTGCCAGCGAGTTTTCAGTAGATGTAAACTAAAATATAACTACATCTTTATCTTTGAAGAGGTGAGAGTGTATTAAACTTCCAATGGTCCTTTCTACTGTCTTCTGCTTTTCTTCTGAAATTCTGTTACCTCAAATCACAACTGGTTCAACACAATATTTTGAGAAATTGTCTTGCAGTATCATCTCACAAAAAGAAGGCCCTGGAAATTTTATATTTGTAAAGTTGTTTACACAACTGAAAAAAAATAAACAAAAGGCAGGTTGAAAAGTATGTTAAAATCATTAAGAATGTTCCTCTCATGTTCTTATTTGCACGATGACTACATCAAAGCATAACACAGGAAACCTTTTTTTAACTTTCAGTTTAATATAGTTTTAAACTGTTTAAAATACAGTTTTCCAAGTTTGTATAGTTAGTAATATTACATTTTTAAACAAGTGCTTAGTTTGATGTTTTACTGCCAATTTTCTTTGTGTGTCTGTGCTCGTGTGTGTATTTTTCCCATTGTCTTGAGAGAGAATAGGTAGATACTCCACCAAATAAATATAGTAGCTCAAGTGAGTGCATTAAGCATATGTGAAAAAGATTAGCCTTAACGAGGTAACATTTGAAAACAGTAAATAATTTAACTTCTGAATCTGTTCTAAAGATTAGCATTCTTTTCTTCATTTTTGTTATAGTTCTGATCAAATTCTGTATACTGGTAGTTCTGAAACTCCAGATGCCTTCAGTAGAGTCCAGTATTTTGTCTGACAATTTATGGTTTTGAAAGAATTATAATATAAACAGTAAACAAGAAGTGGAACTCTTCTCAATATATATTTTTACCCTGGCAGAGTATGTGGGAGGGAGAGCTCTCTATTAACTTAATTCACATCATTTAACATATGTCTGGTTTTTGTTTCCCTAGACAAAACCTGTGTGTAATTGTGACAGAGAGCTCAGAACTCTTGAGTGGAATGAGGGCTAGTCTGTGCTTCTAGTAAATGTGCACTGGAGAGTCTAGATGTTGAGGGAGGACTTCGATCCTATAAGTAGGCCGTTCACTGATAGTGTAAAAATATAAATTACTGCTTTTTTGTTACTTCAGCAAATTGGTGTGGGCATACCAAAAGTTAATTTGAGAAAAAGGAGACCCAATGTACAGGTAACTGTGGATGGAGGTGATTAGTGCATTAGAGTGCCTAGACCTGGAAATACAATTAGAAAGCTTCTGCCCTGCTTACTAGGAAAACTCTAACTAGAGAACTGTTTACTTTGACAAACAGCTTCCAAAGCATGAAGCTTGCATCCTTCCTTGTTTAAATAATAAAAAACATGTTATTTGCTCTAGTGAAGGGCATTCCCTTAAATTATAGTGCTTTACTAATAGGGGCTAATTAGAGCCGTGCTGTAAGATTGTTCTTCAGATTTTTACATGAATTTGAAGACTGGAAAAAAAAAGAGACTACTTGTGCTGGCTTTACTTGCATAAACCCAAAGTCAAAGAGAAGATCATTCTTGTGACTTTATTGCCAAGTTTTGTTGTACAGTGAATGCTGTATAACATTCCAGAATTTGAATGAGCTGGTTTTGTTTTTTTGTTTTGTTTTGGTTTGTTTTTTTTTTTCTGGGGAAGGCAGAGTAGGGCCTGTGCTTTATCTGCTATTTACAT